CATGACTCATTATCTAATATAATCCCTCAAGTCCATGGCATATACATCTTTCCCAGGGTGCAGGGGGCACAAGGGGAACCCAAGGCCCACAGAAGGTGAATGGCTTGCTCAAGGTCATCTAGCCACTCTATTAGAGAGGCAAAGCCAGAACCCAGAGTTCCCACCTCAGGAGGCAATAGCATGTCGGAATTAAATGTCTGGGGTCAGATGACACCTGGGTTGAAATTTTGGCTCTGACACTTACTAGCTGCCTGAGACCAGGAAGTTTCTTAAACCTTCTGGGATTCAATTCCCTCATCTATAAAATGGGGATGATATTTATATAGCAGAGTTATTGTGAGGAGCATATAAAATATTATGTATGTAAAGAACCTGGCATATGGCAAGCAATCAATAAATAAAATGATAATGTGAGTGAGGATGATGATGGAGGAGGAGGAGAAGGTGGGGGAGGGGAAGATGGAGGGGGAGATGGTGATGATGATAAAGAATCCAGTACTCTTTCCACAAGTCTAGTACTTCACTCTTCCACTAGATTCTGCACTGGCTTTCCACAGTCCTTCATTATGGTTCCCATACCTGCATCTGGAGTCATAACACACTTGTGCAGAGTTACACACAGGCCCAGGCGTGATTTCCACAGAAAGCTACATTATATTCTTGGCTCTCTTATGTTCCAATTACTGTGCCTGCATGATGTAAATCACGCCTCATCCATGCACTGTCCATTGAGCCCATGTGATGTATCATCCACTTCATGCCCCAACGAGTTCTGCCCAGTCTGACATTCAGACTCCAGAAGGGAAAGGGAAGGCCCAAGACCCTGGGCCTCTTAGCAAGTCCTGCTGATCAACCTCCTTAATACCACTCAGATCCAGCCTCACCATTGCAACGGCCCTGGCTCTGGCATCCTCATCTCCCTCTTAAACAACACTTTTCTAGCCTCGTAGCCTCTCCCCTCCCCTCCCCTCCCCTCTCCTCTCCATTCTATCCTATCCTAGCCTATCCTATCCTATCCTATCCTATCGTCTCCACACCACTGGCTCTCTCTCTCTTTTCTCCACTCCCCTACTCTGCACTGAGGGGACTCTTTTCAAAATGCTTACCTGACCAGGAATCATCCCTGCATTCAATTCAGTGCTTTCTAACGGCCAATGTGGTCTGGCTCTGCCAACCTCTCCAAACACAGCCTTCAATTCTCAGCCCACACCAGTTGCTCACCATCCATCAAACATGGTCCTCTTTCACTGCATGTTGGTCTTTCTGCTCATAATGCCCTTTGCCTATTGCTCTGCTTACTGAAGTCTTATACATCCTTTGACTGGGAAGGCTTTCCTGATGACTGTCTTCCAATGGCAGAGTTCATTGTACCCATCCTTTCTCGTGTAAATAAGCCATTGCAATAACTACTTATTGAGAGCCATTGTTTTCAAGTACCCAATGACTATGTATACCTTACCTAATTTAATCTTTCCAACAGTCCTCTGAGGTAGTGTATTTATCCCCTTTATAGGTGAAGGAAGTGAGGCTTGGAGACCTTAAGTTAATGTCAGCTAAAGCAAGCCTCTTAATTAGCAAGACCTGCTGAGTTTGCCTTATAAATTTCTCAGAATCCAGCCCTCCTCACTATAAATTGCCCAGCGAATATTTAAACCCAGGTTGGCTCGACTCCAAAATGTCTGATTTCACACTGCATTTAGTTAGCTAACTTCTGGGGGTTCCTTAAGGGCAAGATCTGGGTCCTGTTATCTCAGTACCCCAAACCTAGAAATTAGTGCTCAGGTATTGGTTGGAAGTTACAGGCACTTAGTTTTTGACTTACGATGAAGAAGGGGGGCCATTATACCCACTTGCCCTAGGAGGTAGTAAGCACCGTTCTTACCAGTTTGAAATACTTAGTCTGCCCAAGTTTACATCTCAGTATCTCAACAGCATCGCTTACTAGCAATAGGATTTGGAACAGGTTATTCAAACTGCCTAAACCTCAGTTTCTTTCATTGTAAAATGGTAGTCCTAACAACACGTGACTGTTTTGTACATGGTGGAATGAGGTACGCATGTAGAGTCATTGATACGATGAGGACTTCCTAAATGGTAATTACCAGCATTTGTCTGTGCAGTCCATTCTTTGTAGCTTAACGCCTGCCCAGAGAAAACACTTTTGACCATACAGAAGTTGGGAGTCATCTAGGGGCAATTTCCTGTGCACCCTTAGCACACACCTCTGTTTGTTCACAGCTTCTTTATTCAATGGCGGAGACCACATGAAAAGTCCCATCTTTGCCAGCACAGTGGGGCATGACCTCCCCTGGCATTTTCCATGGCAGCGCATGTATCCGTCTGGCCATGCCGAGGCCAGGGTGCTGGACCCAGAAGCCTCATTTGCACTTCAAGAATTTTTCTTTTCCCAGTGAAACATCTTAGCAGATACTGGTCTCACGTCCTTTTCTGTCATGGCAGGGCAAACACGCACACATACCTGCCTAGTCAGGCTTCTGGAATCTCACTCTGGAGAGCCTCATGGTGGCTGGGAAGGGCCACAGGCTCCAGAGTGCCAGGAAAAGGGGGGTGAAGCCAGAGAGGGCTGTGGACAGAAGTACAAGTGGGGGACAGCCTGATGGCAGATATTCTCAGGGGCCAGCTAACTTTGGCCAACTGGGCAGCTATCCAGGGGCCTCAGCAATCTGTGAGCACCTCAGAGAACTCCTTGGGGTTTTTACTGTTGCATTAAGTTCCGCCATCACGGCGCTTCTCTTTGAGTTACAATTTTGATATTATTTAAGATGCATATATCTCACAGGCTCTTAGTTATTCATTCTATCTCTTAATGAGACTTCTCTAGACCTTTCTCAACCAAAGTTTCCTAGTCAGCTCGCCAAGATTCATGGCATTATGTATATTGTATCTATTAGGAGGGAAAAAAACCCCAAAAAACTACTATATACTTGTGCTGGATGCATTATTGTTAGTATCTCACTCAGGCCTTACAACAACCCCATCAGGTGGGACGATCATTGACTCCATTTTTTTTTTTTATAACAAAACTGAGGTTCAGACATTACATTACTCACCCAAAGTAATAGCTGGTGAATGGCGGCAGTCAGATTCAGACTTAATCGGGTTCAGACCACAGCCCCAGCACACTGGGAAGTTTAATTTTCTGCATTTGTTGAGCTAAATTTTTCTTCAGGTTGGGTCAAGACAATGGAAAGCTACGGCAATGAGGTGACTCAGCAAAGGCCTGGGACCTAGGGTTCAAGAAAGGGTATATATGAGAGGAATTTAGAACAGGGCTTGGCATGTGGCAATGCTATAGACTGAAAGTTTGTGTCCCCCTCCCCCCAAAATTTATATGTTGAATCCTAATCCCCAATGTGAGGGTATTTGGAGGCGGGGCCTTTGGGAGGTGATTTGGTCATGAGGGTGGAGCCCTCATGACTGGGATTAGTGCTCTTACAAAGAATACCTCAGAGAGTTCCCTCACCCCTTTCACCATGTGAGGACACAGGGAGAAGACTACCATCTATGAACTAAGAAGAGGGCTCTCACCAGACACCAAATCTGCTGACGCCTTGATCTTGGATTTGCCAACTTCCAGAACTGTGAGAAACAAAATTACGTTTTTTATAAGTCACCTAATCTATGGTATTATTTTATACTATAACTGACTAGAACACGCAGTTGACACAAATAGGCAAGCACTCAATGAATAGCAACTGTTACTTTTCGTTTTTCCTTTTGTAAGATGCTGGTTCTTCTCTGAATATACTGTCCCTGGGAGGAGAAGACTCATCAACACTGTAGGGAATTTACTCAGCTGAACTCCACCTGGGTGCTTGCAGAAACATACATCCAATAATAATATAATTCCTTGAAAGAGCTCCTCTGAGCTGAGATTGTTGGAAACTGAGCAGATCTCTAGGCACTTGAGTCCTTTGGAAGAATGTCCTGCTTTGTTTCCCATGAGGATTGAAGTCCTGGACGGGGAAAGAAGAACCTTAGTATGGAGAGTTTTAGGAAGGGGGATGTTGACCTCATCAGCACTCATCGATATTGAGAAGCAGGCACATTTTAACTGCCTAAATTTACTGCTATTCAGTATCTTTTCTCTCTCTCAATCTCCACAGTACCCTACTCTCTTCTCTTTAAGAGGTGTCATCCTTGTATCATAAAATACCTGCCCTACATCCCACCTCCTCTACTCAGCTAGCTTCTCTGATATGAGGGATATTAGGGATCTATAATGCCTCCTTGTACTCATCACCCTCCCAGGTAACACACTGGAAGCTGTTCAACTGTCATTTAAAAGGTTTCAGAGACAGACTGTCTCCCCCATGACCGCGGAATCCAAACTACCATTACCTCTTGCCTGGAAAATGACAATAGTCACCCTTGCTTTGGGCTTTCTCCATCCTATAGCTGGAATAGTTTTTCATAAAGAGCAAGTTGACTATTTCACTCTTCTGTTAACATTCTGCAGTGGCTCTCAGCTCCTTCAAATGCTGTCAAACTTTTTGTCCAAGGCTTCCCAAGTGCCTAGCTCCCAGCCGTACCTTTTGCTACTTCCTACTTCAATCTCTATTCTCAATGAAAGTGCTTTCAGTCCTTCAATGAATTATGTTTCCTGTTCTCTCTGGGCTTTTGCTCATGTTGTCCTGTCTGCCTGGAGCAAATCTCATCCTTCTGAATTCACTCTGTCTGCCTTATTCCTCCCCATCCTTTGTGCTTAGGTATCACTTTTTCAAGAAAGCATTTCAGGACCCTTCCAGCTTGTCTAATGACCCAACAATGAGTCCAGAGAATCCCCCTTCTCCCCTACCACAGCCTGAAATCACCAGATTGCTTCTCTATAACGCCATCAGCTGGTAAGTCCCCAGAGAGTAGGGAGCTTCTCTGTCTTTAGTTCCATGCCCAGTGCCTAGCATATAATAGATAATGAATAAATGTTTGTTGAGTGAATAAACAGAGGTCCCCCATTGGTAAGAAACACTACCCAAGCAGAAAGAGAGACAATAGGAATTTTTAATGCATGGAAAGTCCTGCAGGGACTCTGGGCAGACCCACAGGCAGCAGGAAGACGCAGGGGTCCTGCAAACTCAATAACATCTGGGAAAAAAAAAGTCCTAAAGACCCAAGCTTCCTCACTGCAACAATGCTAGGGGCCTCCTTTCTGATGCTGAAGAGGTCCAATTGTCTCTCCACTGGTCTCCTCCAGAGGTCCATGGCAGGAAGGACGCCGAGTGTGGCAGCAGGGAGGAAGAAGAGGAAAGGCCGCTTGGTCTCCACCTGAAAGTTCCTGCCTTAGAATTGACCACCATCCATAAGAAAACGTTTAAAAAGGAGAGACGTTGATAGAGTCAAATAATATCTTAGAAAAAATAAAAGACAGAGAAAAATGGATAATTCCAGTGGTTACAAAGTTCTCTGTTGGCTATCCACAAGAGAAAGAGTTTGCTTTGGCCTTGCTGGCAAGCCTCGTTTTGCCAAGCCCATCCTCAGCTGTCCCCCAGCCCCCCCAGGACCCAGGATCCAGGAGCGCTGCTCCCCCTCCCACGTAGTCTCTGTGCTCATGGAAGGCGGTGCCCTCCCTCACCGGCCCTTGGACTCGCCATACGTGTTTCGGGCCATGGACACCATCTTCTCCTCGCACGTGATTTTGGTGTCCTTGAGGATGCTGTACCACACCATACCCGCAGGTCGGACCTCCTCACTGCGGCAGAAAAGGTAGGGCATGGTGTCCACGCGGCTCTGGATGTAGGTGCTGCGCAGGAGGCTGGAGCAGTGGCTGCTCACCCTCTCCAGACGCCTCAGGATCAGGTGGGCCTTCCTGAAAGGTGGGAAGAGACAGTGATGAAGGAAGAAGCCCAGATCAAGGCGCCAGCCTTTGAGTGGTGGGGAAAGGTCAACTGACAAGTGAGAACTTCCTGTCCCAATAATCTCCTATCCATTCCAGATCTGACGAGGACCCCTGCCTCTCCCTATTCAAAATACCTGTTCAAAAATCACCTTAGAACCTATCCTCTTCAACGGTGCAATGTGTGAAAAATGAAAAAGAGGTATACCCTCTGACCCAGCATTTTTACTTCTAAGATAGGAGAGTCCCAGGATTGATCACATCACCAGCTTGGGGACTCTGACCAAGTAGAAATTCTTACAATAATGATGAACAACAATAACAAGTAATAACTCAAATTTGTTGACACTTAACAAATTTGCTAGAAATTGGGTAAGTGTTTTACATACATTTAAAAAATTTTATTTAATCTTTACAACAGCCCAAACACATCATTCTTTCCACTCACACTTAATAAGTGCAAAGCCCAAGGATGGGAGAAATGATATTACCTGACCAAGGTAAAACATCAAGTTGGCCATTAGAATTGGTCATTTGGACCTAGACCTGAATACCCACAAGACTGCTTTTGCGCTTCTCTAATTCTCTCATACTCTTTTCTCACCACCAGGCAATTTGGAAATCTTATGTCAAAGCCTTAGCACATATGTGCCCAAAGCAGAACTTCCCTGTATCTCATTTTTCTCATCTCTAAAATGGGGGTGGTCTTACCTTCCTCCATTGGTTGGGTTGGGAGATTAACTATGAGAAATGCCCAAAGCCTGGCACGGAGGAAGCCCCCAAGAAATAACAGCTACTGTTATAATAAGGAATTGTTACAACCATGTCTCAGGATCAAGGTCACACTGAACATGAGTCTCAGCAAGAATCTCTGTGTACTGTGGTAATCATTAGTAACTTAGCTAGAGCCTTTTATGCAGCACCACTGAGAAGATCCTTGAGGTGAGCTATGACTGCAGAGAAAATGAAAGTTAGCAAGGGTCTTGAAGATCACTGAGTCCGGGGTTTCTTCAAAGCAGGGTTATTGCATTTGGGCCAGATAATTCTTTGGTGTGGGCGCTATCTTGTAGGAGGTTCAGCAGTGTCCCTGGGCCTCTGCCCACCAGATGCCAATAGCACACCCCACCCCAGCCATGACAATAAAATTGTCTCCAGACATTGCTAAATGTCCTCTGGGGAGCAAAATCAGCCCAGTGGAGAACCAATAACCTAGTCTGATCTACTCCCATTAAAGATGTGGAAACAAGCTTCAAGAGAGAAAGGAGTGTCCCTTTCCTGGGTCATACCGCACCGTCAGTGTGGGCGTCACCGTCAGTGTGTCTGTCTCCATGTAGAATCTACTCTTCTCTCCATCTTAGCGTCTTCAAACTGCCTAGGACTCCTGAGAGGCCAAACGACAGGCTCTCTCCTGCTGTCCTCCCCGTGCCCCTCTGAGACCCCAGGAGGTAGGGCATTTTATGACGACAGACCCCACAAATGGGAGACTGTGTTAGGCACCTGCGTGGCGGCTGGAAAAGGGCTGGGCTTATGTGTGTATACGTTTTGTGGGCATGATTTATGAGGTACCTTTCAAAAAGTCCTCTTTGTATAGTTCACCACTTGGGTGGAATATTTCCTGAGGCACCAAGAATTTCCCAGCTTCATAATCACATTCGAGTTGAGTTGTCGCTCTACCCACAGTCCTCTCTCCCCCTGGGCAGGCCCCTCCCCCAGAGGAGCCTGAGGAGTTTATTTCTCACCCCTCCTCATCTGAGTTCTCATCTGTTCCTTAACAGCTCCATGTCCTTGGGAAACTTACTTAACGTCTCGAATGTCACCTGGAAAATTGGGCTGCTGTGACGTTAAAGGGGATAAAGTCATTAATGCTCATTTACTGAGCATGTATTATATGGCTGAGTTCCCCACCCAGTGGGTAAAGACAGACAATTAAGTGACAACACAGGTGGCAAGAGCAATGATAAAAGGCGGCCTAAGACCTGTGGGCAAGCAGGAAGGTGCCCGGGTAACATTGGGGATATCCCAAAAAAAAATCCTAGGGGAAGGGGAGCTTGTGTTGAGTGTCATAAATGAGTAGGAGTCAGGTAATGAAGAGGGAGAAGACGTAACAGGAGGCATAAGTCAAAGCACAGAGATAAGGGACTGCATAGACCAGCAGTTCTCAACCTTCCTAATGCCGTGACCCCTTAATACAGTTCCTCATGTTGTGGTGACCCCCAACCAGAAAATGATTTTCGTTGCTACTCTATAACTGTAATTTTGCTACTGTTATGAATCGCAATGTAAATATCTTTTTGTTTTCCGATGGTCTTAGGCAACCCCTGTGAAAAGGTCGTTCGACCCCCAAAGGGGTCGCGACCCACAGGTTGAGAACCGCTGGCATAGACGTTCTGAGAACATATGGCTGGAATCCAGTGTGTAAGTGGGAACCTAGTGGGGAAAGAGAGGTGGCAGGGACCAGGCCGTTGAAGCTTAGAAACTGGGTATATAAGGTAACAGTGCATCATACAGGCTCTAGAGCCTGACTAATTTGGTTCAAATCCTGGCTTGGCCACTTACGAGTTCTGTGATTGTGACAGAATTATTTAACCAGTTGTGCCTCAGTTTCCTTATCCATAAAATGGGAATAATACCTGTACTGTATCTACCACAAATGGTGGTTTTCCAAATCAAAAAAGCACTAATAAATCTATAACAAGCCCTCCATAAAAGTTATCTATGATTATCATTATTGTCTCGAGGGTACATAGGATAGTTATTGGAGGGTGTTAAGCAGCAAAGTAACAGGTTCAGAGCTGGAGTGTTCAAAAGCATTTCTTGGCTACCTTGAGGAGACTCGAACTGGGGGAAGGCAAGACTGGCAGCAAGAAACCAGGCAGAGAACACATCCAGGTGATAAGTGTTTCCGGTCATCATTCTTAGGGGTGCTGGTTTGCATTTTCTCTCTGGGCTTTCAAAAAGCTACTTAGTCTTTGTGTTTCCTCATTTATAAAAAGGGAACAACATTTGCCCACCTAATAGGCTTATAGTGAGGATTACATAAGTTAATACATGTAAAACTCTTAGGAAGGTGTTTGGCACATAGTAGGCATCTCATCATCACCCCCACTGCCACTACCATCATCATTTGTTACTGATTTCAGTCTTGAGCATCTTTGTTAGTCAATGGCTAACAGATTGGAGACAAAGGAGACAGACAGACAAGAAATAGCCTCTAATTTAGGGGCAGAGTGCTGAGTTGAAGAACATGCTAGGTGTTATGGGAATATATAAAGTGGACACCTAATCATTCATTTAGGGGCACAGGAAAATCTTAAGGATGTAACTAACATCTAAGCTAGGTCTTCAATGATTAAACACATTTTGAGGTAGATAGGGAGGCAGAGGGAATAGCTCCTCCAAAGTTAGACTGGAGACAGCATAAGCCATCAATTGTTTGAAATGGTCAATGCAAAGGATGGATAAGAGACCAGCTGGTTTGGCAGAGATGAGACCATCCAGAATCATCTAAACCACGGTGAAGTATTTTCTCTGTGGGGCAATGGCTCGTCATTGGCGGATCCAGTCACAAAAGTAAGCCCCAAACACAAATTAGGAAAGGGCAATTTCTCCAACACGTCCAAATGTTTGGTCTTCACACGCCCAGCCACTTCCTCCAAGAGAATCCTGGAATGCAACTGGACCAAGCCTACTTTTGTATGGATGGGGAAACTAAGATTTGGAAGCAAGAAAACTGTTTGTGTAAAGGATAGGCTTAAGTTAGTTACCAAGGCAAAGCTAGAACGAGGGGTCCTCATTGTATAGAGATGAGATGGAATATTTGGCTCTGAAGCCCCAGATTCAAATCTTAGCTCTATGACTCAGTGCCTATGTGGATGATGAGCGAGTTCTTCAATGCCACTCTTAGCTACCACACCAGTAAAATGGGAACAGTAACAGTGGTTGGGGGGGAAGATCAGATGACCTGGGTAATTTGCTTAGTTCTCACTAAATGTTGGCATAGCATATTATAATAGAGAGCACACAGGCACCAGAGCCCATTAGGGCAAGTCATTTCTCCTCTATGACCCTCAATTTCCTCATTTGTAAAGAGGAACAGAGATGCTTATCTTGTAGGGCTGTTACTAGGCTGAAATGAAATGACTGCCATAGGAATCCAGCACAGGAATACGTACATAATAGGCACTACACTAATGTCAGTTTGCTTAACTGCCCCAGGCTTTTTGCACCATCTACAATGCCTCAACACTTTGGTTTGCATTTAGACAACAAACAGGAGAATTCAGAGGGTAAAGCCATGGAGAGCGAAGGACTGGAGATGCTCAAAGGCTGGAGAGGAGGAGGGGGAGTGAGAGACCAAAGGCGGGAGTGCTGGGTAATAAATTGTAAGTGGTAGCGATCCATAAATCTAAGGCTGGGCATGCTCCAAGCGTTCCCTGGAGGGAGAGATCGGAGGTCAGAGTGACCACTTGTCTCAAAAACCGGAAATGAAATCTTCCTCATTGCAGGCAGAGCTCAAGCCTGCTGGGATATGAAGCAAGAGAGAAAGGAGGGACAGCACGTATTAATTTATGGTGGTATTCGCAGGCGAGATTGAGACTGGGATGGCTTGTGAAGGAGTCGGGGGCCGGGATCAAATGTTACTTCGCAGGGAATTGTAGAACCTTTGACCAATATTCTATTCCCAGCACTATACCCAATCAGCTGTTGACACAGTTATCGGACAGAGACCTACTCTCCGAGGGGCCCTTGGAATGGGGAGAAAAAGAAGAGACAATAAGGAAACGTCCCTACTGGACTCTCTCCTTCGTCCCTGCCTCCTTGCGTTGAGCTTAAATGTTCTCTGTGCTAGTTGACCTCAAGTTCCACGGAAAGCCAAGGACATGACGTGGTTACAGAAAAACTGGACTACAGCCCCCAGAAGTGGAGAGGGCAGGTGAAGGGAAGGAAGAACTTGATGCATGCTGGCCTGGTCA